ATCACATTGATACCCAAACCAGGTAAAGATCCAACAAAGAAAGAGAACTACAGGCCAATATCTTTGATGAACATAGATGATAAAATTCTCAACAGTATCCTAGTGAACCGGATTCAACAACACATCTCAAAAATCATCCATCATGACTAAGTGGGCTTTATCTCTGGGATGCAAGGCTGGTTCAACATTTGTAAAACCATAAATGTAATTAAATACATCAACAGGTGTCAAAAAAATCCCACATGATTATATCATTAGAAGCAGACAAAGCTTTTTATAAAATCCAGCACCCCTTCTTGATAAAAACCTTTGAACTTCTAGGCATACAGGGAACATGCATCAAAATAGTAAAAGCCACAGCCAGCATACTCCTACGAGAAACCCACAGCCAGCATACTCGTAAACGGACAAAAATTGGAACTATTTCCCCTGAAAACTGGAACAAGACAAGGATGCCCACTTTCACCCCTCCTGTTCAATATAGTATTGGAAGTTCTGGCTCGAGCAATCAGAGAAGAGAAGGCAATAAGGGGTATCCAAATAGGAAAAGAGGAAGTCAAATTATCTCTCTTTGCAGATGACATTATTGTGTACCTTGAAAACCCAAGAGAATCTGTCAAAAACCTCCTTACACTGATAAAGGCCTTTGGCAAAGTCTCAGGATATAAAATAAATGTGCAAAAGACAATCACATTTCTTTACACCATAATAAACAAACAGAAACCCAAATAAAAAGCACAATTCCATTCACAATAGTCACCGAAAAATGAAATACCTTGGCATCTTTCTAACCAGAGATGTGAAAGACCTTTACAATGAAAACTACAAAACACTGCTCAAAGAAATCAAAGATGACACAAACAAGTGGAAAAATATCCCATGCTCATGGATTGGAAGGATCAACATTGTGAAGATGTGCATCTTAGCTAAGGCAATCTACAGATTCAATGCAATACCTACCCAATTACCAGCAACATTCTTCTCAGACCTAGAAAAAAACAACACAGGAATTCATATGGAAACACAAACGTCCAAGAATAGCCAGAACAATCCTCAGCAAAAAACAAACAAAGCAGGTGGTATCACATTACTAGACTTCAAACTTTACTATAAAGCTACAATCATCAAAACAGCTTGGTATTGGTATAGGAACAGGCATATAGATCAATGGAATAGAGTTGAGATTCCAGAAGCAAAACCTCAATTTCTCAATCAACTCATCTTCGACAAAGCCTCCACCACCTACCACTGGGAAGAGGAGAACCTATTAAGTAAATGGTGCTGGGAAAACTGGCTGACCACACGCAGGAGATTGAAACAGGACCCCTATCTATCCACATACACAAAAATTAACTCCAAATGGATCAGAGACCTAAATGTAAAACCTCAAACCATAAGAACCTTAGAAAATGAAGTTCATACCCTCATGAAAATTGGAACTGGCATCCAATTCCTGAACAAAACCCGAAACCCACAGGCCATAAGGGATAAGATAGACAAGAGGGACCTCATTAAACTGACAAGCTTCTACAAAGCCAAAGAACCATCAAGAGAGCAGGGAGACAGCCTACAGACTGGGAAAAAGTATTTGCCACTCCAGGTCTGACCAAGGCTTAACATCTTGGATCTACAAGAACACAAACGTGCTGAAAAGAAAAAAACAAACA